GGTTTAGGGTTAGGGTTAGGGTTAGGGTTAGGGTTAGGGTTAGGGGTAGGGTTAGGGTTAGGGGTAGGGGTAGGGGTAGGGTTAGGGTTAGGGTTAGGGCTAGGGTTAGATGTTAAAATTTTGACGTAGGGTTTCGAAATAGTGGCCGACAATCTGATGTTTGTGGGCGTGGCGCCACTGAAATGCTGCTAAATATGACGCCAATAGTGTGCGGCTTTTGCCCAATCGTTGGCCAATGGTGCGTTTCACCAGCATCCAGAGGCCCTCAATTGTTTGTGTGTGTGCAACTAAGTCGTGCGTCGGAAGAACGATGTTAGTTATGTGAGTGCGTCTAACTGCCATGTTGCTTGTGTCGTTTGTTTCGTTGTGGCTTTTCCGATCACTGTTTGGAGTGCGGCCACGGGAGAGAACTCTGACTAAGTCGTCCAAGGCTGTTTATTCTTCGTCCGAATTTGCCAGTAGAGCCCTCATTGCAAATGTCATAGAATGGATAAAAGAAGATCGCTGTCTGATTGTGAGGATGTTGACAGATGAATGTGGTGTTAATAGAGAGACCATTTGTAAAATTTTAGTGGAAGATTTGGGCATGAAAAAATTTGCTTGCCAGTTTGTACCACATGTGTTGCCTGATGACTAAAAATATCAGCGTGTTAAGTATGCAAAAAACATCATCAAAATGTTTCACAGGAATAAACATTTCTTAAATCTGATTGTTGCACAGGATGAAACATGGATTTTCCACTATGACCTCACAACTAAATGCCAAAATGCTCAGTGGAAGTCATAATCATCACAAAAAGGCAAAATCTCTGTCTTAAAAAATCTAAAGTGATGACTTTAAAACTTCACTAAAATGAAGACTAGTGTGCTTCTACGGCAGCAGAAGTTATTACCAAAGTATGTATTATTATTATTATTTTAATTTTTATTGAATTAGTCTCATTACTTAATTGTCCGACCCTGCATGGCATAATTTTGTGTAGAGTAGTCTATCACTGATTTCTGAAAGGTTTGATTTGGATTTAACAATTGGACCAGTTGTGAACCATGGAAACTTTTTTTTTTTTTCAACAACAAAAAAAAAGGTTATTTTCTAGAAATAATAAAACATTTAACTAACCTTGACCCTGCTCCAAAAGTGAGATGCTACCTGGGCCCTTCTCCAGAAGTGTGGTGTTGACTCTGTGCAGCTGACCTGCTGTGAGGTTGTTGGGCTGAGCTCTCATCTGAACTGGAATGAACTTGTTTGAGCAGGAAGTCACAGATTTGGTATCAGCCAGTGAGATAGAGGCAGATCTGATTAACTGTAATTGACCGTTTGCAGCATGGTTCTTTTTTAAAGATGGCCTGGTAAAATAAACAAATGGATGAATTCTTTTTCCCCTCATGAATTCTGATTTTGAAGGGGTAAAAAAAAAGGGGGGGGGGGTGAACAACAATCATGCTAACCAAAAAAAAATGTTATACTGGCACAAACATTTGCCATGTATATCTTTAAGTACTTCAAGGGAAACATTTTACTTCCAGATTTGTTTCCTCTTTTTCTCCTGCCCTTATCCTCCAGTGGTTCGCAAGCTCTCAGCGGACTCATGCCAAGTCATCCTGTCCATTGCTACTGCATGCAGCTCACCCCATGTGCTTCCCTCTTTTTTTAATTCTCTAGTCCCCCCCAACCTCCTTTTTTTTTTTTTGGTCTGCCTTTATTTCTATACCCTGGGGATTCCTGCGCAACGACATTTGGTTACACTGTTCTCAAGTTCTCTGTAAGGTAAAGAGGTATCCAAACAACTGCGCAATGTCCATGCAATGAAATAATATATTTTTTTAAAAGAAATTGTCTGAAATAGTTAACTGATTTCTCAGACCGTAATGATTTTTTTGTGCCTCTACACTATTCACTCGCCCCCGAAGGGCCCTCATTACATCCAGCTTGTCATATATCAATTCACCACCAAGAGGTGCTGAAACGGCCAATCTGGTAATCTGGTAATTTTAGTTTCAGCTTCATAGCAAACGGGTCACCTCATAGTTGCTCCGCTCCTGTGCCAACAAAAAACACAAAGAATGTTTATCACAGCCCCTTGTGGAAAGACTGACAAACTGTTGTCTCAGCAAATCTAGCATTAAAAGCATATGGTAGGCATCCGAAGTGCTAACACAAACAGTCCGACATTAGAAATGTAGTTCATCATTGATGGTAGCAGAAGTCACCAAAAGATCAGTATTTGCACACGCGATCAATTTTAATCAAATAATGGCCCCACCAATATTGCGACAACCGGCATCGCGCCATTTTCTGAATCTACAAATCATACCACCATGTTGGTCAGTCGAAAAACATTCCAAATGAAATCCGCAGCTCACAGTGTCATGCCGTGCCCTCAACTCAGAAGCTGAGCAATGAAACTATATACTTCCAGTCTACAAATGGAGCAAAAAAGCAACGGCCACAGTCTGGCAGAAGCAAAAATTTCTGCCTCAACTCAAAACAGTGGCGGTGTCAAGTGTCCATTTGGACCTGAAGCATTATGTGAGGGTTAATAAACTGTCACCCCAGCAGTACCCTACTATTAGCTGGGGAAGGGATTTAGGATATTACATCCACCAGTAAGCGTCACCCCAACAACGACCTGACTGCCTTCGTTAACGACTGTTCACCCAACAGCCATGCAGTTCTTTGGCACGAAGGAGACACCTTGAACTTGGGTTTTGGACTGCCGACTCCCTACAAGAAGATATATGTGTGCTACTGGTGTCCCGTAGCCAAAATACCATCTCACTGTTTTACTAAAATTCAGCCAGTCTATCTGCCTGTTCATTAACACACCAGTGTGACCTGGAGAAAAATCCAAGAATGCTTACTACCTGGGACCACTGAAGTGATGTTTGCCTCTTTATGCAGAGCATGCCTGTCTCCACTTTTGTCAACATGCTCTGTGAGTCTGTTACAATCACAACATGTGTATACAGCTTATTCTCAAGCCAGCAGAAGGCAGCAGAGACTGCCTCCACCTCCATTCTCAAACTGGACTTTGTGATATCATTTGCCAGGTTTTGCTGCATCAAGCGACGTCCATTTGCCTTTGCTACAAACCAACATACAATTTGTGTGCTTCTCATCACAGAGCCAGCTGTATAGATAACCACATCACCTGAGCGGGAATTGTCATGAATCATTTGTTTGAACTTCCGATTCTGCAGCACCAGTTGGCCAGTCCCTGCACTCACAGCCTTAAGTGATTGGAACCCTACACAAGCTGATTCTTGCTCCGACACCTTTGCCCACTCCACTCCTCACTCAAATTTATCAAGCCTGCATGCATGTCTAATTGTGTCTTCAGCTTGCACTATCCAAGACCTTCCTCTTTTCAGTCTGTGACCCTTAGCTCTGTCTAGGACTTCATGCAGGAGGTGCTTCTTGTCTGCAGCTACCCTAAGATATGACTTTGCTTGCAGAACAAATATATATGGCATAAATCAGCCTCAAAATAAATTATTAAAGCATATGTAACAGCTACACCAGTCCTATTGAATGAGACGCTTGTGGGTTTCATTTTGGGGGGGGGCACAATTTTCTTATTTTAGGTTCAACTGATAACTGGGGTTGTGTGGGGTAGGGGTGCCTGGTGTGGAACCTCTAGGTTAATGTAAAACACAAAGAGAAGTATGGAATGAGCAAAAATTAATACATTGTGGGTCACTTAAATGAGCTAATGGCATTTACACTGAAATAACGGTGAAAAAATATAGATGCCCGATGCACCTGAAGGCATAAAAAAAGGGTCCTTTACTTTACTTTACAGTAACAGAAAAAACAGTATTCATAAACCTGTGGCTGGCTATAAAGGTCTCTGCTCGATGAATGAACTCATGCTGTGCATCATGGGAGTTCAACTGTGATGCTGAATGAGGTTGTAAACTGACAGGAGTGCCGTTTTCACCACTGTTTCTGCAATAGTCAATAACACAACAAGATCAGCAAACAGTAACACATTTGATGTTTTAGTTCCGGGATCACCTGCACTGCCCAAAGGCATCTCCTTAACTCTTTCAGTACTAGAAGGTTTGTCAGGAGATCCTAATGGAAGAGAAGCAGGTGATTACTTAGAAAAATCAGGTGTGATCTGCTTTTGAAGAGGCCAGACAACGAAGTGACCAAAGTAGAAGCCACATTTTTCTAGTATGTTGTGACCAAATATAACAAGTTTTAAAAAAATGATGCAATGGTTGGAATTTTTGGGGAATAGCAAATGACACCTCATGTGTTTCTTGGGATTGAAAGAGTTAAGTGTTCTTATCATTACACAAGGAAAAGCTCAGCACCATGCACAAACTCCACAGCAATGGCAGGGCTCTACTGTGGCTTCATTAACTCTTTACACACCAGAGTAGCTTTTGCATACAACAGCATGACGAGGCGAGGCGTAATTATTCCCTGGAAACAGGTAGAATACATCTGAGAGGGAGTGTGTGTGTGTGTGTGTATGTTATCAGGTATGTTAGGGTTATGTCAACTAGTTTAGAGTTAATTATTTATACAGTTTATTTTAAAATACTGAGAAGTATCAGTGCAGACAAATAAACATTTTATGACTTAATATCAACAAGTGCTCTTTATGCCCTTAGTCTACACAGAAACGGGAGGAGGGGGGGGGGGGGGGGGGTTACAAGAGTACAAGTCTTGCTTCCTCAATCCCTTTAGTGCCTCTTTGGTGATTATCTGCTCGTTTCTTCTCAGGATGTGTCCGTCCAATATAGTGCCACCTTCCATGTTTTATAACTGTTATTTCTAGTTGTTGCACAAACATTTCTCTTACTTCTTCACCTGTTTCTTCCTGCTGAATTCATCCCATTTTATGTTCAACATTCTCCTCAGGCATTTGTTTTCAAATGCATTCAACTTTCATTCCATTGCTTTAGTAGTTTCCCCAAAATTCACTGGCACATGTTAAAACTGCAATAACATTAGAATTGAAACAGAAAATATTAATTTAAGTGATTTACCTTTTCTCTGGATGATAGTAGAAGCTCAGTGGTTCAGTTTTTCTTTCCCCTGTAGACCATATTCCTTTGTCCATAGATATTTTTGTGTTGGGCAAAGAATGTGTGAGAGGCAGTTTTGAAGGAATACTGGAAACTCGACTGCTTTCTAAGTAACTTGGGTCTGGAGCTTTTGGTTTTGGAAGACGAACACTTTTATCACCAGGAGAATGTTGCAATCTGAGATCTGGTATGGTCTGAGGTCTGTTATCCAAGTTGGAATGGAATGCATCTTTCTGCACTGTTTCATACAAGTCTAGTCTCTCGAGTTTATCATTCCTCACTAACTTTGATTTACTTGGTACAAATGTTGTTCTAGATCGTTCTACTTTCAGTGAATGATTATTTACATTGTTGTGCATTCTTGATGATTGGATTAAGGACTTTGTGATGGGGTCATCAGAGGCAATAGTGTTGAGTTCCAAATTCTGGTCATCCCCACCATGAATTGAAATGTAGCTAAGGGTTACAACAGGTGAATGTTTCAAAAGTTGACTAGTATGAGATGCGTAACACTTCTGATTTAGATTACTGCTTGATCGCTCAATTGAGTCAGTGGCTGAGCGTCTCACAGGTTTATTCGGTGATGAGTGAACCAGTTCCTTTGCTGACCTTGGGTTCAGATTCTCTTTCCTGGTACTAACATCTTTTAAGGCTGACTTTCTTTTCTATGACACAAACAAAATTTTATTATCATTTTATATTGGAAAAAAATGTATACGCATGGCATGCTAACATCTTATGTGGATGTGTAGGTTAGGAGAAGCAATCACATGCCTGAGAGGCCACAAGTTTATGAAAGGTCACAAGGCGATATTTAACTATATCAAGCAAACAAACACATCTGTTTCATATCAGAAAAAACCCACATTACAGCACTCAGAACATTCAAAAAAATGGTCCATCCCCATCTTCAGCAGCCAAGCAGCCAGCACTGAGTCCCAGTTTGGATGGTACCATAGTACCAGCAGAAATCTAGTTGTAAGTATGATGCCTTTCCTCTGATTGTCATGTGTCAACCAAATCCCCTGGCCACTTCTCGCTCCATCATTCTCTTCAGATCATGATCTGTTTGTGCATCAGCACTGTTCACTCACTCTCAAAGCTCCCTGATAACAACTAGCTTGTCATGCACCAGTTTATCATCAAGTGGTGCAGAACCAGCTAATCTGACTGGCTGTTAATTTCCCAACCCACCTGAATGCCCCAGAGAAAATATCAAAATCACACCAACTACCCAGACTGAAATTAGTCTCACCATCCATGTGCATCTGCTGAAACACAGAATAGACAGATGAATAAAAGTCTGCAAGATTACAATATGAGCAGACTAAAGCATTAGCTCCTACAGAACTCCATTCACACAAAGTTATTTGGGAATCTCCAATCAATCAAGTTATGACCACATAACTTGTGGTCCGGGTTCACTCCCAGGGGTAGGCAGAAAAGCCATTTTTCTCCCAGATTACTGGTACCTATAATGGAATCAAGGCCGAAGGGTTGCAATATCCATAGTACCAAGCCAAAGGGTTTACAACTCATGGTTTCTGGATACTGAAAAAAAAAAAAAAAAAAACGGGTTTCTGGGTAAAAAAAAAAAACTGCTAAAACAGGCAATACACCTATTAAGCTCGGATAGGCACAGGAAAAGCAATGGATCCGGCCAATGTTTTCAATACTCTTGAGGAAGCAGGATGAGTTGGTGATTCGGGAGATGACAGTGAAAAACAACCCTGAAAAAGCTGCAAGAACTTTATGACTTTAAAAAAAAATAGGTGTTGCTGAACATGAACACTATACAGGTAACCAAAGAATAGTAAACCAATATAGAACTGGTGTTATTAGTTGCCACAGGCTGAGGGGGGAGATACTCAAGATGGGATCCGTGCACTTAAGGACTTGTCCAGTGCATGATGAAGATGACTTTTTCAGCACAACAACATTTAGCTGGAAAATTCCAAGGTAATGATATACACAAATAACATAAACGAGTGAGAGCATAATTGTACCAGATGCAACAACACAAATACCAAGGGATATTATAGTTACTAGCCAGGTTGTTATAGTTTTATTAAGCTAAACCATACTTAGTTAAATTGTTTATGGTTTGGTACTCATTGGCAATACCTGATCACACATAGCGCTTTGGTTGGGAGTGAAAGAGTTAACTAACAAAATAACTATTTTATCTTTTAAAAAATAAAGGATCCTTTTTTCATGCCACTCGCACTTTCAGCACATGTTAAAGTAGGTTAAGTAAATACAGAACTTGTTCACACCTCTGGCATGTCAGATATATACTGTAAGACCTATATTTTTACAGACTATGTGGCAGTCGATGGATGAGATGGTCAACATCATGCTGGCCACCTTTACTTTCACAGGATCAACCGGGCAGCTGAGGTCAATTATAAAGCATGTGACTCAGCGTGGATTCAAACCTGACCTTCTGGCGAGCAGGCAAGGGAACATATATCTGACCTTTACTTATTACTATACCTCATTTAATAATAAGAAGAAAAACAATAACATCCTATATGATCCTGAGCCTGGAGAACTGGCTAGAGAAAGAGAGACTTCAGGCGTGTCATGACCGTAACAAGGGCAACTTTCTGTAAAGGACCTGCTGGATGATGATGATGATGAAGATGAGGATTTTCAATTGACATTCACAATCTCTTCTCTACCTGACTCTGGTTTGGTAGAAAGCCATCCCTGCCTTTCTCAGCACTAGCTTGTAATCCATTTGTGTGGTGACAGCTGACTTCTGGAATCAGATCATTCCAAAAAAAAAAAAAAAAAAGGTAATGACATGTACCACAAAATATGATAAAACAAATGTAATGAAATACTCACTGTACAAAATCTGTACTAATTACAACCCAGAAGATTTAATTAGGGGAATATTTCAAATAATATTGATACAAATTACATAAATGTCTGAGAGAAACTTTTAAATAATATGTAAAACAGCAAAAATATATACACTTGAAATATCACTGACACTATACATCCCAGTTATAACCCTCAAGCTGAACAGGATGTATATATGTATGTAAGTTGTACCCCACCAGGACATCACACAAAGCGATAAACACCCAGTGACACAAAGTGACACCATGCAGATGAGGATCTCCAGTGGAGAGGTCCCTGCAACCCCGTTCAGCCGTTAGGGTATATTTATGGGCCAGCTATATTTACGGCCCCTGGCAAAAGCCAGGGTAGGGCTTCAAATAATGAAAAATTGCATCCCACTTGGGGATGACCAACGCAGTGCACGTACAAGATATTAATTATGTAAAAGAAATGTCAATGAAATGTTCATAGGTGCAGGAGGATGGCTGATACATAGAAAGAGCAGTAATACATGGCAAAATAATTTATGCAAAGCAAAGTGAAGGATCACCTTTCGTAGCAAAAAATGTAATGGGTTTATGATGCAAGCTGTATATATTTTTCAACTAATCAGCACTCTGTGTTGTGATCAATATCATGTCCATTACCTTTCTTTCCCACATTATTTCCTAGTCCCAGTTTCAGGGTAAACCTGAGACAGAAATCCCTATCAACCCAGGATTTTAACATGTTTTATAAAACCTGACGGGGGCTTTAAAAAAATATGGGAATAGCATCGTATGCTCTTTACACCTATGACATTGAAAAGTGTCCCTACTTTACTCTGTTACCTGTCCACTGAGAAAATGACGCAAGCTTAAGTCATAGAAATGGCAGAATTCTTTCCTATCAGTACAGCTCTGGCATCAAACTGCATAATCATCATCATCATAATTTGCCCTGCTAATAAGCATAGGTGGCCATGTTTTCGCTATCTCAATGACCACCAAAATTATGGATCAAGTCAGTGCTCTTATCTTGCCCTAATCCATATGGTCACGCCATTCAGGTATTTATATCTTAATCGTCGCCGAGCTTTCTTCCCATTAATATTGCCAGCCGAAACCAAGGTCTCAGGTCCATTCCTTCTGATAACATGTCCAAAGAACACTGTCTACATCTAAGAACGCTGGCTACATCTAGGAACACTGTCTACATCTAGGAACACTGTCTACATCTAAAAACACTGTCTACATCTAAAAACACTGTATACATCTAAAAACACTATACATCTAGGAACACTGTCTACATCTAGGAACACTGTCTACATCTAGGAACACTGTCTACATCTAAGAACACTGTCTACATCTAAAAATATTGTCTACATCTAAGAACACTGTCTACATCTAAGAACACTGTCTACATCTAAAAACACTGTCTACATCTAAAAATACTGTAAACATCTAATAACACTGTCAACATCTAATAACACTGTCTACATCTAAGAACACTGTCTACATCTAAAAATACTGTCTACATCTAAGAACACTGTCTACATCAAAGAACACTGTCTACATCTAAGAACACTGTCTACATCTAAGAACACTGTCTACATCTAATAACACTGTCTACATCTAAAAACATTGTCTACATCTGAAAACACTGTCTACATCTAATATCACTGTCTACATCTAAAAATACTGTCTACATCTAAGAACACCGTCCACGTCTAAGTACACTGTCTATATCAAAAAACACTGTCTACATCTAAGAACACTGTCTATATCAAAGAACACTGTCTATATCTAATTGCTCTAATCCATTTTCAATTTTCACCTGTCTCAAAAAGCACTGAAACCTCATTTGTCTCTATTCTTTCATGATATTCTTTGCATTCTTTTCAAAAATGACATTTCTGAGCGACTAAATGTTTTTCAGCTTATCTGTGCATTGTTCTTGTCCCACATTCAGATAGAATACAGGTTCTATTAATCACCTTTATGATTTTTTTCTCATTGCAACTGACATCTTGTAAAACTATGACTATTCTTGGCATGTTGAAGAAAGTGTTAAACTAGCCTAATTAAAATGGCCCCTGGATACATAATTTTTTCAAATTGTGAAAGCCTACCTCCTCACACCCCAACAGAATCATCTGAGACTATGCGACTGCCTTTACTTGACTCCACAAAGGAGTCTGTTGTCTATGTGAGTGTGTGTTTGTTCGTGTTTTCATACATACCCTTGCAACAACCTACACATTTGTTTTTTTTTATCTTCCTCTTACTCTAAAGTCATAGCTTCTGTAATCATAAGCAAAACATTTACTGACTGATCTTTATTCTCAAAATATGTCATAACCTTTTAATTGTTTACTTCATGATAAACACACAAATACATTCACAAACTTCTGCATGCATGTTTAAAGGCATCTATGCATGCCCACACACAATTACCCTGCATGAATACAAACTAGCAACATCCATAATACAGTTTTGGTTACTAATAAATAATATTAGGTACAAACTTGTCATTAAAAAAAAAAATTTTTTTAAATTAACAAACCTGCAAAGGAACCTTCATTGCTCGAGGACGACTGACTTTCCTGGATTGAAAGCAAGAAATAATTTTATTTCAGTGACACCAACAAAAAAAAAAACTAGTCTGAATTTATTTTTGTTTTAAAAACTGTTGACCTTTTACATCTGCATGACCAGTGAAATCCTGTTTTTTTGTGTTTGTGTTTTTTTTTTTTTTTAAATTCTTCAAAAGATCACCAGAATTCTCAGCATTATAGTCTGCACATCTATATTTAATCAAGTTTATTTCATTTAATGTGACATCTTAATTTTTCATTATTGCACACATTCTACGATTTTTTTATACTTTGATTTCAACTACCTGATATGTTTTATTTTGAAAGTGTATCAAATTCATATCATATTTTGTAGCTTGGGGTTATGAATATGGTTCAGAATTCCAAAATACTTGTTTTGGTTCAGCTACAAATAATTTTGCAGCAGACTGTTGTGGGTCAGTTTTGACAATGTTTTGAAGTGTCGACCATTTAGAAATTGACTAATTAAAAACCAAAGTCAATCAATAAATGCTGGGGTTGGTTTATGACATTGTGTAAAGGATATCCAACTAACTTATATTCAATAAATATATAAACATTTACTGTAAATTACTCAATAGAATGCCAAAAAAAAGTGTTTTGAAAGAGCTGAAAATCCAAAGAGAGCATATAATAATCAGAATGAAGTGGCCATTACTGACATTATGAGCAGAAAAGACGCATGTTAGGGCTTTATTGCTTGTTTGTTGGTGTCTTTCTGGCTTTACAGAAGTCAGTGTTATACTGCGCTATGAGAAGGCATAGGACTCACAGCCCATGGTGATGGCTAGTGTTTTCTTCTTCTTCTTCACGTTCACCAGCTGTACACTCTGGCGGAAAGTTCTGGTTGCTCGCCCACTACTGAACTGCAGTCCTGCTCCAGAACCTGAGTGTTGCGTGTGCATTAGTTTTACAGATCTCATTCTCTTGAATACAGACTGTTGGTTCCTTGCCTCTCCGGCAGATGACCTCCGACTTCAAAGGAAGCTCTCAATTAGTCGACTCTTATGACATGCTTTTGGGGAGGCAGTGGGTCTATTCTTGTTTTCCCCACAATGGGGCCCCGGAACCCACACGGGGGGATGGCGAGTGTGATTAGCAAGAAGAAGTCTGCGTTTAAAAAAAAAAGTCTTCCACAATCAGGGGATGGGATTTCAGGACTGCTGCTGCCATCACAAGTGTTAAGTGTGCTTCTTCTTATATGCCTAACTGCAATCATTACTCTCATTATTTCTGCAATCAATGTTTTCCTTTCTTTTCATTCCGTTCTTGATTTGACCCCTCCAAGCCAAACGGTTTATGGCATTTTGTTTTCATGAATTTACTTTAATACCTGTATCATTCATGTCCTGTTTGCATACATCTTTACATAACAGTGGAGACCGGCCTCAACATCGTCTACCCATAGGTAATTCACCACAGACAATGTCCTCAGGGACTCCACCATCCTCCATTCTCCAGGTGTGACCCAGCCATCTAAGTCTTTGGAGACTGAGCATTGAAAAAAAAACTGCTCTTCCCAATACCTCAGTGTTTGTGGTATGTTTGCCACTTAATGTCAAGTATTTGTCTTTAACATCACACATGAAAGCTATTTAGTCATTTCTCCTGGTGCGAAAAAGTTAACCAAATTTTACTGCCATTAAGAAAAGTACTGAGAAAACAAGCCTGTTGGACAATGTGCTGTTTTACACTGACTTTATTTCTATACTATGCACCTGAAGAGATACAGTGAAATATTCAAGGCAATCAATTGTGCAATAGTTTGTTTCTTCATTATTTAAGTTTTTCTTATGTAGCTACCGCTAGATTTCCAATTGCAGTGTTTATGGTTAATGTACTGTGCTTTGTACACTTCTTACATAAAAATTGCATTTATCCTTGTTATATTGTATATAGTTAACTTTCTCTTAGAAAAATTATTAATCATTTTTATTAATCTTAGGCAAATTAGAATAACAAAATAAATGTATTTAAAGTAAACAAAGTTGCTATTTAAATATTACATTTATGTTTAAAATGTATACATTTTAGCATGTTTTCTACCTTTGCACTGTGGATGCTGCCTGATCTGGAATCATTTGGTTTTGTTTTCTTGTGGATTGGTGCCTTTTGTAACTCTTCTTCCTTTTTTGGCGTCTGGTAGAGAGGCGGTCTATCTGGATCATCTACAGATGTCAATAAAATACAATCCACTGAATATGGTTAAATTAAACAAAGCATTGATAATAACAAATAAAGCTAACGTTGGTTTAAAGTCAAAGGGATCAACTATGTTGCACCAAGCCTGATCATAAATGTCTCAGTCTCTCTGCAAGAGTCTGGTAAACCGATGAGAATGAATTGGATAAGTGGTCAAAATAAGGGTCTAAGGAAGCCGTGGTTGCTTTCTTATGACTAATAAAGTTAAAATAGCACAAAGTGTAGAAATTCAATGAATTATAATATGATGACAGCCCCTTTGCACAGTAGGATAAATACTCAAGGTGCATCAACTTTAGTTCACCTACTGATACGATAAAGATAACAAAAGGTGTAAATAATTCACTTACTGATACGATAAAGATAACAAAAGGTGTATATAATTCACCTACTGATACGATAAAGATAACAAAAGGTGTATATAATTCACCTATTGATACGATAAAGATAACAAAAGGTGTATATAATTCACCTACTGATACGATAAAGATAACAAAAGGTGTATATAATTCACCTACTGATACGATAAAGATAACAAAAGGTGTATATAATTCACCTACTGATACGATAAAGATAACAAAAGGTGTATATAATTCACCTACTGATACGATAAAGATAACAAAAGGTGTAAATAATTCACCTACTGATACGATAAAGATAACAAAAGGTGTAAATAATTCACCTACTGATACGATAAAGATAACAAAAGGTGTATATAATTCACCTACTGATACGATAAAGATAACAAAAGGTGTATATAATTCACATACTGAAAATACAGCAATACAGCATTCATAAAAAAGCAGTGTCTGATATTTTTCTATTATAAAGTGTTTATGTGGCATGAAAACAATATTTTCTCCCTTAAAAATGCAGGTAGAATAATTTTTATCTTGATTTTTTTAAAGGATTTTTTTTAAAGCATTAATTTGAAAAATTATTTTTAAAAAACACGCAAATAAAACAGACATGCCAGACATAAACAATGTTTAAATTAGAGTTCTATTATTTTTGGTGCCATCTTCACAACATAATCTGACTGTAGTGAATACATGTAATCATTGCTGTCACAGGAAATGTTAGGTAGAGAGATTCTAATTTGTGTCCACTGTGCAACTCTCATACCATTGCTTTAAAGCCACAAGAACAGTTTTTTTTCTCTAAATTTTTAACTATAGAAACTGAACCCATATATATTAATGATTGTAAACACATTCACTAACCTCTAAGTGACACAGCAACATTCTGTTGTATTTGAAACACATTTACTAACCTCTAAGTGACACAGCAACATTCTGTTGTATTTGAAACACATTTACTAACCTCTAAGTGACACAGCAACATTCTGTTGTATTTGAAACACATTCACTAACCTCTAAATGACACAGCAACATTCTGTTGTATTTGAAACATATAAAACACACACACACACACAGACACACTCTTACACTCATCTTTAGCTGTTCGTTTCTTGGTGACTTTGCTGTCAAATTTGCCCTCGTTTGTCAGAGCTGTGACAACGAAACAGTATTCGGTGTCAGGGGTCAGTCTGTGAACACTGCAGCTGAGTTCTGTCCCTGGAAGAAACAGATAACATGAAGATCTCATGATTATGAATACTTTACTGAAGGTAACAGGGTTTTCATAAGGAGAGACAGAGAATAAAGAGAATAAACAATGGATAAAGAGAGATAATGGAGATAGACGAGACAGATGGGAAAGGTGAAGCAAAGACATAGTGGAAAACAGAACAAAACAGTGAGAAAGAGTGGTGGGGGAGGGGGGGGGCATAACTACAGTCCAGCTTTTTAAGCTATCCATGTTTGTTTTTCTGCCCACTGTGTCTCATTTATAATTCATCCACATAGAGCCACACTTTCTCCTTTCACTCCATGTCAATTTTCTTCTGTCAATATGCCCAGTAAATTTCATTTGTTCTTTCCCTAAAGCTTTGATTAGCAAATCAATTATACCCAGAGCTTTTAACCAACATTTCAGTGGACATTTTTCTCTCTATTCAAAATATTCTTGAATCTTCTTGAAACTTCACCTTCACTACCTCCATAACTGTCACAATTTCCTTACTCATTTTCTAGCATTTGCATATACACAACAGAATAGGCTACAAACAGCTCGTATGTAAGTGGACCCTTGTGCCGTTTTGATATTGATGTGCCTGTTAATGCTACCCATTTTAGTAAAAAGCTCTTAAACAGAATGTAACATCTCTATATGAATCGATCTTTACATGCACAAAATCAACATTAAACACTTGGATGTTTCACTAAATGACAATGAGTCAAAGGATGAAAACCTAATGACTGCTTGACAATATAACAACTGATTTGATTTGATTTGATTTGATTTGATTCAAGAACTGACATCACAGCACTCAGCGAAGAGTTCCGATACTAATGGTGCCAGTAGCATTCTGATTAAACGTCTGTCTTGCCTTTCCTCTGAGCCTCGAGCATCTGCCAGAACCTCTCGTCACTTCCCGCTGCATCAATCTCACCAGACTGTGGTCATCCATCTGCTCCTCTGAACTGTACACGCTCTCCCACAGGGCACTAACCAAGTCTGCCTTATCATGTATCAGTATTCCACCAAATTGTGCAGAGCCAGCCAGTCTGTGTGTCCGTTCATTTCCCAACACACCGGCCTGACCCGGTGAAAAAAATCCAGACATACTCCTCACCCGTGTCCTCCGCAGCGAAGCATGCCACTCTGCACGAAGCATGCCTGTCCTGATCTTCCTCAGCATGCTTTCTGAGTCAGTTACAATCACGATGTGTGTGTGTGGTGTTCTCTAGCCAGCGGAAAGCTGGAGTGACCGCCTCCACCTCCATTCTTAAGCTGGATGTTATGGTATCATATGCTAGGCTCTTCTGCACCAAACGTCGACCATTAACGTTTGCTAAGAAGCCCCAAGCACTTCTTTTGCCTCTTGACACTAAACCGTCTGTGTAAATGATCAAATCCTCTGAGCGAGCATTATCTTGAATTAATTGCTGAATTTCCAACTCCGGGCTATAACAACTATGTCAAGTTGCATCATAATAATGAATTTCTTGCACAGTGAAGAAAAGAAAGACAGAAACAAAGTTTCCTACCTGAGTAAATAATCTTTCCATTCATGCTGACATCATATCGAGTGATCCGACCCAGAGGTAACTGTGGTGGTTCCCATGAAACATGAACTTCACTTCTGCCAAGAACCTGAACTTGTGGCTTGCTTGGAGCATGAGTTCCTAGCTCTGCAGTGATGCCTGTACAGACTGCCTTTGGTCCCTTTCCTTTGACAGTAGCAGCACAAACCTGCCCAAAGAGTAAGATTCATTTGTTGAATTCAAGGATTAATTTCATTTAGACATCCATTAACTCTTTCAGCCACAGCCAGTAAATAATTCAACTCTATCGGCTCTAACAAATTTTTTACTCTAATACAGCCAATGCTCGCACGTGGAAAAGTTAAATTAACAGAACCATTGGATAAAAGGAGCTAATGCTAACAGTTCAGTTTGGTTAGCTGACACTGCCGGTAATAGAAGAAAATAAGAAAAGTTGACATCTATTGGCCTAGCTAATGAATATATGGTGCGCTGCTCGGAACCGACAGAATTCATGCGCCCATTTTCTCACTCAGGTCACATTTGGGAGATTAATACTGAGTGCCAAAAAAAAAAACAACAACAACACTATGTGCAAAAGTTAGGACCAAACTTTGTTGTTACCAGAGTTGATACATTCTTTATATATTTTGCTAAGGATACATATTCAAATTTAAAATTTAGAGACTCCAGTAATAAATGTCTTTAGTAATAAAACTTATCTGGACTGATGTTGACACCTCATTCACTTTTGGCATATGTTACAGGCAGTAAACTTTTATATTTGATATCAATTAGCATTTGACAGATTATGTTCACCATGGGGCTTCTGTGGCACCACTGTGGGGGTGCAAAAGAGAAAAGGGACCCAATGCTCCCAAACAAGCATTTTGTGAAGTTGACTAATTAGGGGTGTTTCCTTCAAAGTTGGAGAGCATCTGTCTGAGAGGCGAGGAACTAACAGTCTGCACACAAATAAACCAAATCTTTTAGGCAGGTTTGCATGCAAAACTTAAGTTCTGGAACAAGACCAAAGTCCAGAAATGGACAAACAGCCAGGACTTTCCACCAGAGTTTATAGCCGGTGAACACATAGCAGGGAAAAAAGAAGATAAGTGATGTGGTTAATCAGGTGCCTTTATTTCTCAGAACATTTCCTGGTATCTATTATCAGGCAAGGTCAACAATGAAGCCCAGGTCATTTTCTCTAACCTATATTTAATTACGGCATGATGCTGACCACATCACCCATCTTGTGCCGAGTGGTCTATAAAATATAGGTCTAGCCCTATATGCCCTATACGCCCAAAGGCGGGGAAAAGGGACCTTTACTTTTTTTAATTTTTCAAATATTTAATTATCCACTCAAACTGGTTACTGCTGTGAGAGCAAAAGAAGAGTAAGGGTAAAGGTAAAGTCAGGAGATGTGAACCAGCATCACGGTTATAAACCATAAGTGCTCTGCCACCAGAACGGACAGCTGATAAGAATTGTCCACCTGTGTCGCCGTCCACACGTAACTCTGCAACTACAGCGACATTCCCCCATTTACCCCAGAGTGTCAACTCTGGTACCCATTTCCTAGAGGCTTGGTGAACCCCAGGAACCGCCCGGTTTCTAACACCGACCGCGGGCTGCAGTGAGCCGCAGCTGGATCTGAAAGCGAGCCTCTTATCAACTGAGCTAACGCAGCCCCGAAAAAAAAAGATTTAAAAAAAGAAGAGTGAAATGTACAAGTTGTCTGGCCAACATAAAGATTAAAATAATTGCAAAAAAGGTAAGATTAGTTAAAATTAACTTATATCACACAGATCAACAGAATAGGTTTTTTTTTTTTCAATCTGTGGGTGTGAAAAGGTTGAAGACTTCTGCTTTAGAGGATATGCAATTGTACCATTGTTTTTTTAAATCACAAATATGTAACCAAAACTATAACTGTACATGAAGAAAAAGATGAGATTAAAAACATAAAACATGAAAGTACCTGTATCTCATAGGCAGTATTGGAAGTGAGGCCTGATATTATTGATGCTAATTCCATAGTATGTTCTACCATATTTTTTGCTGAAAAAAAAATTAAAAATAAACAAAAAGAATATTAGTCATTTTATTAGTTTAAACTGCAGTTCCATGGCAAATGGGTCACCCCATAATAGCTCCATAACTGTGCCAGCAAAAACCACAATGAACGTCCATCAGTGTACCTTGTGAAAACAGTGAAACAGATTGAAGTCTCAGCATAGCCAGTAGCATACAGATACATTAAATGCATAAGGCAGTCATCAGAAGTGCCAACACAAACAGTTCACCACTAGAGTGGCAGTTCATTATTACTGGAAAAAAAGTTACAGCAAATCAGCAGTTGCAAACACAGTTAACTGTATTAGGAGCCACTAGTTCTCTGGCTACAGGCCACCCGCCATTTTCTGTTCTGCAGTTCGCAACACAAACCACACTTGGGCTCAGTCAAAAAGCATCCACATAAAATTGAAATTCACATGTGTTGCATCAAGTGCTCAACTCATTTACAGGGTGATGGAACTATCTACTTTCAGTTCACAGATTGGGGTGAAAAAGCAACAGCTAATCTTGGCCAAAAGCAAACAGATTGCCAACTGGCACTTAATGGGTAATGTGGGCAACATCATGCCAGTCATCTTGACTTCCCATAACATTTCCAAGTATTTTTTTCAGCCTGGGTCGACAAGGGAAGTAAGATCAATATTTAAAAATCCAACTCAATGCAGATTTGAACCCAGGACTTCAGAGCCAACAGGCAAGAGTTTATAAATTTAAGTAACTGTTAGTAAATTAGAGTTAAATATTTTCTTTACATTTACTTTGTTTTATTTAACTTTGTTTGAGCTATAAGCATTAATAATAGAAACTGCATCCATATTCCATGTTATTTATTGTGTCTTCTTTAATACTCTTAGACAGTGATTCCAAAACTGTGCGCCGCGGTGCCCCAGAGGACGGCAACTTCTTCACAGGGGCGCCACGAAATATTCGGAGATACACTTAGGTTAGGGCTCTGTGGAAAAATTTTAATTGAAAAAAAAGTGCCGTCACTAAGAAAAGTTTGGGATACACTGCCCCAAGAGGTCATTTGGATGTACTAAGACTCACTGATATTTCTTGAAATACTAAGCAATAGTGAGTTTATTCTAAGAGTAATGTCAATGAATCTGCCAACAAATTAACACTGTCTAGAGTATTTTTCACCTGCAAGGAACACAGGAAAAGTAACAGTAACAGTGCAACCTAACATACATGTATGTTGTAAGATGCAAGTAAAGACAGTTGTAGTGCCACTAGCTCATCCTTTTGAAAACTTTTGGCTGCAAAATCCATCTAATCATTAGCAAGTGTACAAGTCTTGGTATGAGTTAACTAAAAGTCACTGCTCTATTGCAGTGGCCTACAGCCTAGGGTGCGCCTGGAAGTTTCAAGAAAAGGGGGCGCTGGGAATTGGGGGAGGGGGGGGGGGGGGGGGGACATCAATCAGTTTTGAAATTGAGTTCACTTGTAGTTATATGTGATACGAAAAAAGATTTTGTCAGTTTAATTATAAATATGTCAGACGACACAGAGTTAAAAACTTCTTTATCCTTCTCTTCTTTCATTCACCCAAAAGATATTATCTATATCTGCAATGCTGTCTCTAGAATGAACTTCACTGTCTTTCATAATTCACTCAGCAATCCGTCAAGTTTGGCTTCAACAGGTGTGTTTCTCCTGGCCAGATGTTTTGTCTTGACAGGTTGTGCTGGGACAGTCTTGGGGGACGAAGTAAAAACAGTGGACACAAGGGAGTTAAATGGTTGTAGACCACAACGCAGACCAAGAAGACCATGGAAAGATAATATCCAGACAGAGCTGCAAACACTTGGTGTCATCAACTGGAAAGAGAAGTCAACCAGAGAGATAATATCCAGACAGACCTGCAAACACTTGGTGTCACCAACTGAAAAGAGAAAGCCAACCAGAAAGACAAATGGAGATGGGTGATATCTGCAGCAATAAAACTCAAGGGCTCAGAATGAAGAAGAAGAATATTTATAAAACATAAAGCCGTGGATGTTTTTGTTAAAATGAGCACTTTCTATTGACAAATTAGTATTAATACATGTCCATTTAATTATAGATTAAGAACACAATCTAATTTATGTTTGTTTGTTACTTGACAATTTCATTTATGTGGATGTGTTTCTCAAAGTTCTTGTTAACAGTGCTTGGGATTTTTCTGTCTGTCCCCTTTTTATTCCCATTTTGTTCTGTTTGGGGTAGGAGGCATGGGGATCTTGCCTTATACTCAAGAAGGCTGCCACATGAAAAAGGTTGCAGACCACTGCTCTATTGGAAGATCAAAATGAAGAAAAAGAAGACAATGATGAAGAGGGTAAAGAAGAAGCAGAGGAGGAAGTGCAAGAGGAAGAGGAGGAAGAAGAGGATGAAGAAGAAGATGAAGAAGGAGGAGTAGGAAGAAGATGGAAAAAAGAAAGAAGAAGGAGGAGGGGAAAGTAATGTTACCTTGATAAACATAATACCCTTTTAACACTCCATTGACAATGTTTGGTGGATTCCACCCAAATTTTAGCTGTGTGGCAGTTGAGCCAAGAACTCTCAGATTCTGTGGAGCTTCAGGCACTATTAAATAAAGAATCCATTATAATTTTAACAACCTCTATAAATACAGCAGATGTTAAAATTCAATTTCAAGCAGATGATTAGCACATGTTAAATAGTTTAGCTGAGGCAAAAAATTGTTTTTCATGGAATACGGGGGGGCAGACAATAAACTTAAACTAAAATGCAAAATCAAAGCAAGTACGACTAGTCGGAAGCAAGTCAATGTGTTCAAGTATTTTGGTACTTGATAACAGCAGATGGAAATTGTATTAAAGAAGCTAAATTAGAATAGCCAAAGTAAAAGCAGCAATTCACAGAATGAAGAATATTTTATGCAATATATCTATGTCATATATAGTTAACAAAAAAAGAGTAAGAGAGTCCTGAAAATGTATAGAAGCCAATCCTGATGTAAGGAAGTCAATCCTGATGTAGGGAAGTCAATCCTGATGTAAGGAAGTCAATCCTGATGTAAGGAAGCCAATCCTGATGTAAGGAAGTCAATCCTGATGTAAGGAAGTCAATCCTGATGTAAGGAAGCCAATCCTGATGTAAGGAAGCCAATCCTGATGTAAGGAAGTCAATCCTGATGTAAGGAAGTCAATCCTGATGTAAGGAAGTCAATCCTGATGTAAGGAAGTCAATCCTGATGTAAGGAAGTCAATCCTGATGTAAGGAAGTCAATCCTGATGTAAGGAAGCCAATCCTGATGTAAGGAAGTCAATCCTGATGTAAGGAAGCCAATCCTGATGTAAGGAAGTCAATCCTGATGTAAGGAAGTCAATCCTGATGTAAGGAAGTCAATCCTGATGTAAGGAAGTCAATCCTGATGTAAGGAAGTCAACCATGGATGGTCAGTAAACTATTCTAAAATTAAATTGTAGTTTGTTGTTTGTTCGTTCGTTTTAGAGAAAAACAAAAGACACAATCTGGATCTTGGTCAACCTGCTCCTTGTTGAGCCTCGGTTATTACAAAGATCTAGTATTTGTTTTGTGTGTCGCTGCTTCGTGGCAAACATTTTGTGCCTTTATTCTTGGTTTGTTTTTCCTGTTGGGGTCCAGGCCAGTGAGGTTTCTGCTGCTGTGAAGAGGAGAATGTTTGGAAGTTCTGAAAAGACTAGTAGGTAAGTAAATTTTACATCACCACATCACACAAGCGATAAACACCCAGTGACACCATGGGGATGAGGATCACCTTGGGAGAGGACCCAGAAACCGCATTCAGCCTTCAGGCTAATTTGCAGCCCCAGGCAAAAGCCAGGGTGGGGCTTCAAAATAACGAAAAATTGTGTACCAAATGGGGACGACTTTAGTTAGAGTCAGTGAAACGACTAGTCCTTAGGACTCCTCCTATGCTTGCTATCCTTCATCTGCCCTCTACCTGGTCATTTTTACACTTCTGAGTCATTTTCTTCATCTTGGGGAATTCATTTTTGTTCTTTCTTGATCTTTTTTCTTTTGCTTCTTGTAGTGTTTTGGTGATCCATCCTTTTTTTTCTGTAAGGTACACACCCTGTTTTTTGGTTTTGCAGCTTCTAAAGTAGCTTGTATAGTTCTTCTTGCAGTTGCTGCCCTCGCTCCTGATTGTTCTCACCATTGTTTCCCTTTTAATCTGGTTTGCTCAACCTAGGCTGTGTCCAGTGTGAGTTCTTGTTGGGCTTCTCTAATTTCCTTGAGGAAGTTTTTCGCCACTTCTATTTCTGCTTGAATATTTACAAACTGTGCTTCTTTGGATGATTTGTTTTCTTTTAAGGGTTTTGACTTCTGCTTTTAACTGTTCAGTTTGGTCCTGCCATGAGGACTTCTCCCATGCTGAACAGCTCTTGGTTGCTTTATTCCTCTGTTGTGCCTTCTGATACAGATATTATTCTTTTATAGTGATTCTGATGATCAGCTAGCATTGCTGGACGTACAGACAGCCCAGGTATCTCGTACAGACAGCCCAGGTATCTCTTACAGACAGCCCAGGTATCTCTTACAGACAGCCCAGGTATCTCTTACAGACAGCCCAGGTATCTCATACAGACAGCCCAGGTATCTCATACAGACAGTCCAGGTATCTCGTACAGACAGCCCAGGTATCTCATACAGACAGCCCAGGTATCTCGTACAGACAGCCCAGGTATCTCATACAGACAGCCCAGGTATCTCGTACAGACAGCCCAGGTATCTCATACAGACAGCCCAGGTATCTCGTACAGACAGCCCAGGTATCTCGTACAGACAGCCCAGGTATCTCATACAGACAGCCCAGGTATCTCATACAGACAGTCCAGGTATCTCGTACAGACAGCCCAGGTATCTCGTACAGACAGCCCAGGTATCTCATACAGACAGCCCAGGTATCTCGTACAGACAGCCCAGGTATCTCGTACAGACAGCCCAGGTATCTCATACAGACAGCCCAGGTATCTCGTACAGACAGTCCTGGTATCTCGTACAGACAGTCCAGGTATCTCGTACAGACAGCCCAGGTATCTCATACAGACAGCCCAGGTATCTCATACAGACAGCCCAGGTATCTCTTACAGACAGCCCAGGTATCTCGTACAGACAGTCCAGGTATCTCATACAGACAGTCCTGGTATCTCGTACAGACAGCCCAGGTATCTCGTACAGACAGCCCGGGTATCTCGTACAGACAGCCCAGGTATCTCTTACAGACAGTCCAGGTATCTCGTACAGACAGTCCAGGTATCTCTTACAGACAGCCCAGGTATCTCATACAGACAGTCCAGGTATCTCGTACAGACAGCCCAGGTATCTCATACAGACAGCCCAGGTATCTCTTACAGACAGCCCAGGTATCTCTTACAGACAGCCCAGGTATCTCATACAGACAGCCCAGGTATCTCATACAGACAGTCCTGGTATCTCATACAGACAGCCCAGGTATCTCATACAGACAGTCCAGGTATCTCGTACAGACAGCCCAGGTATCTCGTACAGACAGCCCAGGTATCTCGTACAGACAGCCCAGGTATCTCTTACAGACAGTCCAGGTATCTCGTACAGACAGTCCAGGTATCTCTTACAGACAGCCCAGGTATCTCATACAGACAGTCCAGGTATCTCGTACAGACAGCCCAGGTATCTCATACAGACAGCCCAGGTATCTCTTACAGACAGCCCAGGTATCTCTTACAGACAGCCCAGGTATCTCATACAGACAGCCCAGGTATCTCATACAGACAGTCCTGGTATCTCATACAGACAGCCCAGGTATCTCATACAGACAGTCCAGGTATCTCGTACAGACAGCCCAGGTATCTCGTACAGACAGTCCAGGTATCTCATACAGACAGCCCAGGTATCTCGTACAGACAGTCCAGGTATCTCGTACAGACAGTCCAGGTATCTCATACAGACAGCCCAGGTATCTCATACAGACAGTCCAGGTATCTCGTACAGACAGCCCAGGTATCTCGTACAGACAGCCCAGGTATCTCATACAGACAGCCCAGGTATCTCATACAGACAGCCCAGGTATCTCATACAGACAGCCCAGGTATCTCATACAGACAGCCCAGGTATCTCGTACAGACAGCCCAGGTATCTCTTACAGACAGCCCAGGTATCTCATACAGACAGCCCAGGTATCTCATACAGACAGCCCAGGTATCTCTTACAGACAGCCCAGGTATCTCGTACAGACAGTCCAGGTATCTCTTACAGACAGCCCAGGTATCTCATACAGACAGCCCAGGTATCTCGTACAGACAGCCCAGGTATCTCATACAGACAGCCCAGGTATCTCGTACAGACAGTCCAGGTATCTCATACAGACAGCCCAGGTATCTCATACAGACAGCCCAGGTATCTCATACAGACAGCCCAGGTATCTCATACAGACAGTCCTGTGGAAGACTTGATAAAGAGATACAGGCTTAGAGTTCAAAAAGCCAATGCAGTCAACTACCAACTGGCCCCACTTCTTCGTCATCCAAAGATCTCGTTACCAGCCAAACAACAGATGATCAACAGCATTTTCATCCCTACGTTATGTTATCAGTGCCAAATGTGGACAATGAACAAATCACATATGCAAAAAATAACTACGTGTTAAATGCGATGTCTCCGAAGAGTCACCAACAATACACGAAGAAACAGAGTCACAAAAGTCAGCATTAGAGACAAAGTTGGAACAAGATCATGCATGAAGCATATTGAAAGACAGAGAATGAAGTGGTTTGGCCATTTAGTAAGAATGCAACCGGATCAGATTGCCTAAAAGGCCTTTTACAGTAGAACATCGGGAAGAAAGGCCAGAGGAAGACCCAGGAAAAAATGGATAGATGGAGTAGCTAGAAGATCCAGAAAACTGTCACTCAAATCACGCGAGAGGCACAAAACAAATATTTTAAACCACGACACTGGGCTGCAACCCGGTAAAACTGAAGAAGACAATAGATAGATGGGGTCTGTTGTTGAGAATCATGTTGATGGGTATGACATCTCCTTCTGTTGTCACAACTGCTAGTTTTTCCCCATGTTGATAACTTTTATTTTGGTTTTGTTGTTGTTGAAGTTGCTCCAAATCTATTGGTTGGTGAGCTGGGCTTTTTTTATGCATTACACAATCCTCTGTTTTACTGACTGCAGCATGTTACCCACAAATGTGATCTCATGCAGAAGCTGCACCTCGGTGTTGTCACTGCTCTTGATGCTGTGGATAAGTTTGATGATAAGTTTTTTTGTCTCGTTTACTGTGGTGATCATGGCATCTTGTGTCATCTCAAGTCTGATGAGGCTCTGCCTTCCCAGCAGGTTCTTTATCATGTTGATTATTTTTTAATGATTAAGCTATTAGTTTAGCTAATCCATCACTAGTCTGATAGAACATGATTTTTGCTGAGAAGATTTTGTCACCTATAAGTAACTCCTCTGTGTAGATTTCTGCATGTGTCTGTTTTACTCTTCAAAGCAGCTGGATTGCTGCCATTCACCACTGTCATGTCATGCTAGTGGCTGTAGTCTCTTTGTAGTGGTAGTGGATCTAGTTTCCCGGTTTCATGCCTCATGTATGAGGTTGCTAGCTAGACTTGCTAATTCTTGTGCTTTCTTATTTCCACACCTGGTACAAAGCGAAGCGCTGGGCAGCATTCTTCCAGTATACCGGTTTCATGCCTCATGTATGAGGTTGCTAGCTAGACTTGCTAATTCTTGTGCTTTCTTATTTCCACACCTGGTACAAAGCGAAGCGCTGGGCAGCATTCTTCCAGTATACCGGTTTCATGCCTCATGTATGAGGTTGCTAGCTAGACTTGCTAATTCTTGTGCTTTCTTATTTCCACACCTGGTACAAAGCGAAGCGCTGGGCAGCATTCTTCCAGTATACCGGTTTCAACGTGTTATTAATAATGTAGCTCACTTATTACTATGAACAGGGCTTGGTGAATTTAACATACAAATTGGTCCCATGACTGAACAGCCAACCCAAAGACCAACCCAACCCCTTGTTGCCTCTTACAAAATTCTAGTTAGAATGCAGGGTTGCAATTCTTGGCTTCCATGGCAACACTTGAGTGTGAGTAGTAATTAAAGTAAAATCTTTAAATTATAAGGTACAACTCAGGTTTGTCACCCCATCTTGTTCAGCTGTGTGATTTGGAAGAATTTAATAATAAAACTATACATAAAAACAACACTTACAGTCCTCATCTGTTGTCACAATTGTACTTTCACTGAAAATACTTTCTTCCACATCGCTAACTGCCTGAACTTTGAAGCCGTATGTTTGATGAGGCAAAAGAGAGTTAACTTCAAACTGGCAGTCTGGTCCACAGTAGACACATCTATCACCTGCAGATTGAATCGGTCAATTGGGTATCACTGTGTGCGTGTGCATGTATGTATGTACACAAGTTCGCTCACAAATGCATGCACACACACATATGTGTGTGTGTGTGTGTGTGTATATATACATACATACATAAAGCTTTCTTAAACATTCCCATAATTTCAGAGTCACTGTAGTACAATGGCTAAGGCACTAAACTGTAAGGCTGGTGGTTTTAGGTTCTTTGTCTTCTTCTCAACATTCACCAATTGTAAGCTCCTGCGGAAAGTGCTAGTGTTAATCTACTTTTGGACTTTAGTCTTATTAAAGAACTTGAGCTTTGAGTGCACATCTGATTTTTTAATAGATCTTGTTTTTTGAAACTTAGACGAAAACATCCATAGTTAGTCACCTTTATGAGATGTTTGTTTGTTTGTTTGTTTATTCAACGGATCAACATCATGGCACACGGGTGTAACCTATAAATGCTCCATTCTACTTCTAACTCAAGCCTGAGTCTGAAGTATCTCAGTACAGTACACAAACTCCGTTGCACCATCAAGGATCCTGAAATATTTTGGGTAGGTTTTTAACTCCAAATTTTGCCCAGGCAGCGCCGTTAGGCCACTTTTTTTTTTAAATTCCAACTTCCAAGCTAGTTTTTACATGCACAACAATACACATGAGTGTCCGGTCTTACTACCCAGAGACCAGGGGAAATTACTAGAAGTCCACGTGAAAAACTCCTAGCCTTCACTGGGGTTAGAACCCGGGACCTCCAGCTTCTCGAGGCGAATACCATACCTCGATACCACTCAGCCCCCCGTACTTGTTCTTTTACTTACTAGATAAACATTTGCAGCATGATAGAAGTCATGTTTTGCAATGTACTAAAGTCATTAACACTTGCCCTCATTAACCTTTAAGAGATGCTTGTAAGCAGGAGTTGGTCTATCATTTTCCCCCACAATGAGGCCCTGAAACGCATATGGGAAGGTTGCAGGTTCAATCACCACTAAAGCTGCTTTTTGGACGATAAACATATGGAAAAGCACCATCTTCCAAATACCCCTCAGGGCATGGATATTAAACTGAGCTAAAATAATAATTAATTAATTCAACATTACAGACATGGAAATATTATCTCTATTTTTAATCATTGCAAAAATCATCATTTAGAAAACAAATTACCTTCAAATAACTGGTACCGTATGTCAAAGACATAATTATATGTTACTTTATTCCAACTAGCATGGCAAGATCTTGAGCTGAGAACTGAAATGAAACATATATTTTGTTAACTGACATTAAAATACTCATACGACCAAAGAAGAGTTTTTAAAAAAACATACCTCTACAGTTCACTGTAAAAGTCAAAAATCAACATTTCCATCAAGATTTGTGCAGACAAGAAGACAAGGTAGGGAACTTGTGTTTACCCTGGTAATGCAGTCAGCCATGTTTGTGTGTGTTTGATTTTGTATTTCAGTTGAAAGGACTTGTATTTATTTGCTTCAGTGAATATATTGTTACTTTATTATGCATCTCAGGAGGGACAGCTAAGTACACAATCCATTCTTCTTCTTCTTCTTCTTCTTCTTCTTCTTCTTCTTCGCGTTCACCAGCTGTACACTCTGGCGGAAAGTTCTGGTTGCTCGTCCACTACTGAACTGCAGTCCTGCTCCAGAACCTGAGTGTTGCGTGTGCATCAGTTTTACAGATCTCATTCTCTTGAATACAGACTGTTGGTTCCTTGCCTCTCCGGCAGATGCACTCCGACTTCCAAGGAAGCTCCCCAATTAGTCGACTCTTACGACATGCTTTTGGGGAGGCAGTGGGTCTATTCTTGTTTTCCCCATAATGGGGCACCGGAACCCACACGGGGGATACAATCTATTGTTTAGGTCTTCTTTGTTCAAATGTACGAGCTGTCTGAGACCCAAAAAAATATTTAAATCCTTCATTTCTGCAGACACAAGTAAATGAACAGAAACACTTTAGTACATAACTTCTATCATGCTGCAAATGTTTAACTAGTAAGTAAAAGTACAAGAACTCTTTCTCCCGCCATTAGCACGTCAGGTATATGGTGTTAAACACATATTTGTATCGACTAATCACCACTAAATCATAGTGTCTGTGGCTTAGGCATTTCATGGAACCGGGTTCGATCCCAGCTGTGGGTGATCTGGCAACAAACCACTTTGTGTCGGTGTCAATAGTGGTATCAAGAGCTGACCATTCAGGAAGAAATAGCAAACCACTGTAAGTAAAACTGCCTAGTGAAATCACAAACGGTCAAAAATTGCTGGGATTGGTTCTGCAACATCCTGTAAAGGATAAGCAACTAGCTTTTAAATCATCACTTCATGAGTTATATGGTCAACATTATGCTGGCTACCTTTACTTCTATGGACACTTTTGTGTGGTACCCATTTAGGCTGGGTTGCCTTGGAAGCATTCAGCTAATTATAAAAACTCCATCTCTATGCAGATTCAAACCCAAATCTTTCAAGCTGGTGGGCAAGCATCCAGCTCCTGAGCTATGGCAACTGAGCTTTCTCACAGAAAAAACTAAAATATCTGTAAATGCATGCATGAAACTGGACAACAACAACAAAACCTTTAATGAAAGGGGCCTCTGGGGGACTAAGTGGCTTGAGAATTTCCAGTGTAATCATTATCTCCTCTTTCATATCTGAGTTCACATCTTCAAGCTGTTCAACCTCCTGGAGGAAAAAAACAAACACAAAAGCAAAATAAACAAATCAATGTCCATAGATAGTACTTTGAGCACTGCGAGATAAATACAAATGTTATATTAAAACTCTACTGTTTAGTAGACAATACTTTTTCTAAGCACTGCAAGATAAATACAAATGTTACATTAAAACTCTACTGTTTAGTATCCATTTTGACATTTATATCCCCTTTTCCATGAGCACAAGTCTCCGCAGAGGATACAACACCACAAATAACAGAGGATACAACACCACAAATATAAAGATGTTACAGTCCTGACTGCAGACCATGGACTTGACTTGCTTTGCAACAACAAAAATCCTCATGCTCAACCAAGATCCCCCCAAAGGGAGGTGCTTTTGGTTATAATTGTGAATAGGTTTATTTACGCCATATTAAATGGCTTATCACTGCTCGCCACAAAGTAGCCCTGAAAAGAACACCTGCATTGTTGATGCAATTAAGAGAGACAGACCCAAATTCTGTGAAAAACTCAAGTTATGGAACAGGACCAAAGTCTAGAAGTGGAGGAACAACCAGAACTTTCCACCAGAGTTTACAGCTGGTTAACAGAGGAAGAAGAAGTATGGCCAACACTTTTCTAGCATATGTAACAAATCTGTGACACTACTGCAAAGCCCTGTCATCATTTGGAAGTGACAGGTTCAATTCCTCGCATTCTGATTTTTATGTAGTCCAGTGCATCCTTCTATAGTTATATTTCTGTCTATGATGCCAATCAATACATGTCTATTTTTTTTTATTATATAATACATTTGTAGGTGCCAAAGTTATATTTTTACCTTTAATGCTTCATACACACCAGGACAGCTGCGGAGTCTCAAGCATCCCTTACGCTGACTGGCTAATGTTCTAAGTGTCCTGAAACAAAAATATAGACAAATAAAAATTGTCTGGTATTTGCACTTTTTCTTTTTCTTTTTTTTTCTGCTGCTGCTGCTGCTTCTTCTTCTTCTTCTTCTTCTTCTTCTTCTTCTTCTTCTTCTTCTTCTTCTTCTTCTTCTTCTTCTTCGCGTTCACCAGATGTAAATTCCAGTAGAAAGTTATGGATGTTCATCCACCACTGGACTTTTGTCTTGTTCCAGAACCTGAGTGTGGGTACACACCTGTTTTACTGACCTATCTTATTTGTATGCAGACTGTTGATTCTTTGCTTCTCAGGCAGATGCACTCTGATTTCAAAGGAAGCCCCCACTTAGTCGACTCTTACGATATGCTTGTTGGGGAGGAAGTGAGTCTATTTTTGTTCTCCCCTCAATGGGTCATGGAATACACATTTCAGTAAACATTCACTACAATACATCTTTTAAAAATGCCTTTCAGACATATCTGCACATAAGGTCTTTAGAAAGACAGAAAACTTGTCATTTTCTAACCCAGTCTCAGATAGTTACAAGAACATAGTCCTATTAAAATCAAAATTTTTACATTTAACTCCTAACATCCAGTCAGATCTTCAGGTTCAATCACACCCTGTCTAATGCGCTGACGGAATGTTGCAAAATCTCTTACCGTGCCAATATAGTCCTCTATATTTTTATAAAAAGCAACTATTGAAACAAAATAATGCTGTTTTTAAAAACAGCATATGCTTCTGGTAAATCTTATAATGAGATCATTTACTTCACGTCAGTTGACACAGCATACCTATGACAAATGTTCAACATGCTTCTCATGTGTGCCATAAGACACTAGTGCTTGCTTTACACAGTGATGTTACATTGTTATTTAACTCTTTCACTCCCAAACAGCTGTTAAATTAACTTCTTATATCCCAGGAGTTGACATAAAAAGCAATAAATACTTTTTCATTTCAAGTCATTAAACAGAGACACCCTAGGACAGAAACAGTTAAACTAATAATTCAGATACAAGAGGTTGATATAACATACATCTGTGGTAGAAGTCAGCAAGGGCTTTGTATTATCTTTTGGAATTACCACAAAACATATGGTGTGTCGTTTGGGATTCAAAAAGTTACAGACAGTATGAAGACCTGTAAAAAGATGAATCTAAAAATTCCAGAAGATAATAAAAGCCCCAAATCGACCATGACAAGTTGCCGCTGCTGGGACTGTCAGGTGCCACTTTATATTGAATGGTGCTATGAACTGTACCACACCACTGACAAATTTTGGCTGTAAAATTTGATTAACAGAAGTGGTATATATTTCTTTTTTTTTTTTAATTGATATTGAATTGCACACTATTTTCTATACTTATAAAACAATACAATTTTATGTCTTATATGTCATAAAATTATTCTACACTGTTGACAGATAACAGATTTTTTGGTTGCTTTTTTTTAGCTTTTTTGCATCATATTATAGCCAGATGATAATGATGTCAAACAAAATAAACCCATTTTTGTTTCTTGCAATTTGTTTTCCGTTTAATTTGGTGCAAAAATGCAAAATATGATAAGTGTTTGTTAAATAGTTGTAAAGCTATGGATGATGTCTGGAAAAGTGCAAGTGTTAACAGGCTTGGTTGTCAGTGGGTTAATCCCTTTATTTCACAGTTGATACCTGTTTGGTGATTCTCTGCTGGTTTCTTCTCATGATGTGTCCGATGCAGCGCCATCTTCTGAGTCTTATAACTATTGATACTAGTTGTTGCCATACATTCCTCTTATTTCTTCACCCCTTTCAAATTCATCCCATTTTATTTTTTCCATTTTCCTCAGATATTTGTTTACAAATGCATTTAAGTTTCGTTCCATATCTTTAGTGGTTCTCCAACTATCACTTGCATAGTGGTCGACGTTTGGTGCAGCAGAGCCTAGCATATGATACCACAACATCCAGCTTAAGAATGGAGGTGGAGGCGGTCACTGCAGCTTTCCGCTGGCTAGAGAACACGACACACACACACATTGTAATTGTAACTGATTCAGAAAGCATGCTGAGGAAGATCAGAACAGGTATGCTTCGTGCTGAGTGGCATGCTTCACTGCGGAGGACACGAGTGAGGAGTATTGTCTGGATTTTTTCACCGGGTTACGTCGGTGTGTTGGGAAATGAACAGGCGGACAGACTGGCTGGCTCTGCACAACTTGGTGGAATACTGCTACATGATGGGGCAGATGTGGTTAGTGCCTTGTGGGAGAGCGTGTACAATGCGGAGGAGCAGATGGATCACCAGTTTGGTGAGATTGATGCAGTTGGGAGTGACGAGAGGTTCTGGCAGAAGCTCAAGGCTCAGAGGAAAGGCAAGACGGACATTTAATCAGAAAGCTACTGGCACCATTAGTGTCGCAACTCTTAGCTGGCTGCTGAAGATGGAGACGGAGGGCTTATGGGAATGCCTCGGGTGCTGTGATGTCGGTTCTTGAATCAAATCAAATCAAATCAAATTACTTGCAAATGTCAAAACTGAAACAACGTTAGAACTGAAAATACATAACTTGGCTTTAAAACTATACAATTTAGAGTTTTATAATTTTTGCAATCTACTACAAACTGCTGATGGCTTGCATAATATATTTATGCGTATTTCCCTCACTATCAAGATTACTAGCTAAATAAGTAAATTACTGTTACTTTAATTGCTTTTGTTTCTAGTGTTAGATCTGCTTGATCTGTTGTTGGTGTCTTTAAAATATTTGTCTTTTCATAACTTATTTGTAGTCCAACTTGCTAAATCATCTGTTTTCCTTCACATGTTGTTGTCTTTACTTAGCAATACAATCATCATCATCAGGTGCCTTACCGACTGGCATGGGCGATCATGCCTCTCCATAATCTGCGATCTCCTGCAGCATGTATCAGTTCGTGTGCCGACACACCTCCATGCCATGCAACAAGACTGTCAAGCATCTTCTCTCGTCTTCCTCTATCCCTCCTTCCACAGATCTTTCCAGTCATCACAACATGTTCTATTTTCCCTCTTCTCATAACATGGCCAAAAAATGATGACTGTCTCCTTATGATGTCTGTGATAAGTTGTCTTCGGGCTCCCGCCTCTTTCAAAACCTCTAGCAGAACAACATCATCAGCAAAATCAAAATTTTCCAACTGTGTTCTCCATCCAATCACTGCCGGTGTTTCCAACACAACAATTTTTCATCACCCTGTCAATGGTTATGCCAAACAACAGAGGAGAGAAAATGCATCTCTTTTTCACTTAACTATGTAGCCATTATAGGTATCCTAATTATAATTTCTTTAGAGACTGGGATTGGGACCTGACCTGTTGTTCTGCCACCCAGACTGAGATATTAAAAAATTCTCATAGTGGTAAGCCGTTAGGTAGAAGCATCATGGAGGGGACAAACCAATCAATCGACTGAGCCAGTCCTTTACTGTTTTGACATACTTACATAGCAGCAAACCAGCCTGTCTCAGAATCATCAGCACTGAGCAGCTTACAGAGGATCTTGAGAACATCATCTGAGTGTGAATAGTTTAGCAGATGGCTGTGACCTTCCACATCTCCCGCCAGGCAACTGAGAGCGAAGCAAGCGTTCTTACTGGCACCTGCATCCCAGCAGCTGAGCATCTCAACCAGGGAGGAAATCTGGACATAAATGTCAATCAAATTTTGAAACTAAAATGTGCATTAATAAAGCATATAACCAAGGATTGCGTATAATGACATGATGCGTGCGATTTACAGGTTACACAGCACACTTGACAAGTATCTAGGGTTACTTAATAGTGTCACACTTACACGTCACCACTCCTGCTCAACAGTAATAGATGACGCCTGACACGTGTTGACCCTCAAAGTCTATTCACCATATTTTTAAATCAGAACAATGAATGATATCACAAGATACTAACTGCATGCTACTACTGTCATTCTCACTACCAATGCATGCACATTTAGGATGCTCTGGAAAACTTCTACTACCACACTATGTTCCATGGTTGCTACAGGAAATCATTGCCCGCTCGCGCCAATCCACGGCTCGTGACTATGTGACTTCGATATACAAGATCTGACAATTAAGTAATGAGACTAATTGCATAAAATTAAAATAATCAACAGTTGAAGATATAACCTGTATTTGATTAAAAGTAAGCCCCTTGTGCATTGATACAGCAAGTGGCACGATCTAACAAACTCTGGAACGACCTCTGCTGTTCATCTGTTGTTATGGCCCTTAAAGTTGATGTTATGGCCCTTTGGATGTCAACAATATCATTGAAGAAGCGTCCTTTCATTCGAAACTTTAATTTTGGGAAGAGAAAATAATCACAGGGAGACAAATCTGGGGAATAGGGTGGAAGGCTGAGAACACACACTTGTTTTGGGGCCAAAAATTCTTGTTTTGATGTCGTCTCTTGAGCACTCAACCCGCTGATGTTTCTGGTCATCGGACAACGAATGTGGTACAGATTGGCAAGCAACTTTTCTCTTGCCAAAATCTTCCACTAAAATGTTATGAATGGTCTCTCTATTAACACCAAATTCATCTGCCATCATCCTCACAGTAAAACATCAATCTTCTTGTATCCGTTCTCTGACTTTTGCAATGAGTTCATCATTACGAACAGAAATTTGACGTCCAGGTCTAGGTGCAATAGTAATCATTTCCATACCACTTTTGAATCGTGAATACCACCTAAACAAACATGTGTGCATGAGATAAACAATTATCCCCATAACTTGTTGCATAAGAAACCTGTGAAGGATTAGGGAAGAGATAGAAAGCTATTAAAATACCATTTATAAACATTTAAAAAAAAAAAAGAAAACACATTCCTATGGTCAACAATGACATTCATTCACAAAACAAACTATAAAATAGGATTAGAATTTGTAATGCAACGAACCATTTTTTCAGATTCAGGTAAATTCATCAACCGCTGTCTTCCATCCCCAATATCACACAGCCGACCTAGAGAAAATGCTGCATTCATTCCTCTACCTGTTGAACAGTCAGGAAACTACATTTATACAGAAAATAAACTAGTATCTAATGAAATTAACTCTTTGAGTCCCAAGGAACGCGTCATACGTTCATAGATTCCTACCTAGAAGCCCAATGAACGCAAGATGCACCGATTTTACGTCTTTCTTGACTACCCCTTGGGCCTGTGATGCTAAACCCCATGGGACTCAAAGAGTTAACAAACCAAAAGCAAACACTTGTCTGATCCACTTATAAGGCAGTCAAATTTTGCAAGGAGGAAGAATATAAAGTAAACAATATAATGATCCCATTAAAATAACATCACGAAAAAAATCAACCTAAATAAGAGGCGGAGCTAATCAGCTTCACAACATTCTTAAAAGACAAATGGATGTTGTGGCCAAAAAGTTTTTTAAGTCATTTTGTTTAAAAGACCACCCTTCCTAAATGCTATTTGTAGTTAATATATTTGTACCTGAGCTTCCTAAACACCTGTGCAGGTGCAAACAGAACCCAACGCCACTAACTATGCTTCTCGGGACAGGCCGCAGCAGAAATCCCAGGTAAGTTGCACATTTACAGGAACAGGATTGAGCCAATGACAGAGATACTGGGTTTCTGAATTTTTTGGTGCGACAGGGTTGGAAACTGCATATACCGTGAGTACAACCAACTGTTGCACAAATTACCTGGATGCAGGGGTGCTGAACTACATGTACCGTTGCACTTCAATTCTCAGGATCAGCAAGGTGTCCACGACATGGAGGTGACAGCCGTTAAATCTAGCCACTCTAGCAACAGAGTCTGCAAGTCTCTTGAGAATCACTTTATTTTCACCTTGGGGGACCCAAACTCCAAGGGGACTGAACTGTCAACACAGTTTCATTTAAAATTCTTGAGTTAAAGTCCTTGGCATTCCAGGCAATTTAGCCTTTGGCCACACGTGTCTCTTCCTTCCAGTGGCTAAAACACAACATGGTTGCATCGGGATAGGTCAGTTAAGTGATTTTGTGTATTCGTATGGTTCTGTTTGATTTATGTATGTGCTGATGAAGGCTCTGTAGCCATAACATTCACTTTTCGTTTGTGATTGTTATAATATGAAGCATGCTAATCTACCTTTCATTCAGTTTTATATCTTTCTAAGAAATACATGTTGTGGTACACCACAACTGGTCTCCACCTGCCTACACCTCTCCCATGGGTGTCCTAGAAACAAGTTTGATACCAGGGGCCTGGGCCAATGTACATAGGATCAACATTTCCTTTGAAGTCATGGTGCATTTGCCTGAGAGGTGAGGAACCAACAGTCTGCACACAAAAAAGCCACATCTGCAACATCTATCTACATGCAAAACTCAGGTTTTGGAACATGATCAAAGAAGTAGATCAACAACTGGGACCTTCTACTGAAGAAGATAGACAAGTTATCATTTTCAGATATTTGTTTCACCTTGAGAACAAAATAAAACCCCAAAAATTGTGTCTATAAATATACTGCTTTCATTCAAATACCAGATCATATTCTGACCTGCCTCATCAATTCCAAGCGCTTGGATGAGATTCACAAGGATGTTCTGTGAGTGGAGGTGTTCTAAGATACAAGCACAGCCTTCCTCTGAAATACTCAGCCTGATTAATTGAGAAAAATGATGACAATTCATTGTGTGTCCACCAAAATATTGAAACTTGTAAACTTTTTACAATCATTTCTTAATGTTACTTTCAAAAACAGGTTATTTGCATGTGTGTGTGTGTGTGTGAGTGTGCAGGCACGTGTGAGGGGTGAGGGGGGGAGAAGGTGGAGAAGGTGGAGGTGTATGTGTGTGTGCATGTATGTCTCTCTGTCTGCTTGAGTGTATGTATGCATGTATTTGTGTGTGTAGATGTGTGTGAACAAATGAATGTGTACATGTGTGCCTATGGGTGCACACACAAAAAACTTAATCTGGTTAAAAATAAGTAAAGGTCCCTTTTCCACACCTTCAAGCTTATTGGGTATATAGGGCTAGATCTATATTTTATAGCTCAATCGGCTCCGGGTTGGTGATGTAGTCAACATCACGTCGGCAGCCTTTACTTCCCAGGACAACAACTGGTACCCACTGAACTAAAAGTAAAGTAAAGGACCCTTTTCTACGCCCAACGGCACAAGATGGCTGATGTGGTCAGCATCACGCTGGCCACCTTTACTTCCCAGGACTGAACCCACTACCCAGTCAAGGCTGGATCAACCTGGCAGCCAAGGTTATTTTTGAAAAAGTCCGGCTCTGCCAGGGAGCAAACCCATGACCTTCTGATCCGCAGGCGAGCCTCTAGCCACAGCAACCCATTGAAGGTTGGTTTTAAAAAGTCTGTCAGGACCAGAACCGACGACCTTCTGATCCGCAGATAAGCTCCTAGCCGCAAAGCTTCAGCGGCTCTCATTAAAAATAAACATGAATCAAATTACCTTGCTGACTTGCAAATAATCTACAAAATGTCAGATATATTTTAAATGAAACAAAATTGTGTTGGGAGAAGTTAAAAAGAGAAAAGTAAAATATTTCTGCCACATTAAAGACGTAACATAAGAGCTTAAGCAGCTTTATCAGCTGCAGAAGGAATAGACTGCAGAAGAAATTTCGAAGAAAACATCCAGAGGTCAAGGGTGAGTAGCACTGTCCAGATCTTTTCTCCGGGGCATGCCAGCCTGTTGGGAAATGAATAGGTGGACAAACTGGCTGGCTCTGCACAACTTGTTAAACTGCTGATGCATGATAAGGCAGACGCGAATTAGGCCTTATGAGAACATGTGTACAATTTGGAACAGAAAACTTATCATCGTAATCTGGTAAGAATGATGCAGCGGGGAGTGAAGAGGGGATCTGGCCCATACTCGACGCTCAGAGGAAAGGCAAGAGAGACATATAAGCAGAATGCTACTAGCACCACTGGTACTGGAACTCTGCATTGGTGCTGAAGATGAGGATGTAGTGCTTATGGGGAAAGCTCTGAGTGCTGTGATGTATGTTCTTGAATCAACTCAACTCAACCAATTATTTTCAGTCGGCATAATTGCCTCGGAGCTTGAACAATTTGGAATTTGATGGTTTTACAACCTTATGCAGTAATGTAGAAAAGAGACTGAGACAGCTGATATAAAAAAAGACGTGAAAGCAGCTAGAGGACACAGCAAAGGATACAAGTCCTTGGCATGAGTTGGTCGAGGACCTACTCTCCAGTGAAAGATAAAAGTCCAAAGAAGAACTAGATTATAAAAACATAAAAAAATAATATAATAGGGATGCCCAGATTTCTTATCCTGCTATGCTAACAAAGGTCTTTCCTAAAAGAAGAAATCCTAAAATCTGCTAATAGGCAACTTCTATTTACACAAATACAGATTAAGACTGTCTTGTCATCTACAGTTAAGGCACCTATTTAAAATGATGTAAAATGTGAACCTTGCTAAGACTAAAGCAGCATTGCTAGCAGTCCATATGTTCTCCACATGAAGCAGGTCAGTGACATGATCAAGCATGGGCTGGATACATGGCTCTGACAACATCCACTTTCTACCTTGGGAATTTTCAGCCTGGAATTTTAACAAAAACTGGCCATATTTTCATGGTTAGTTAGTTGAGTATCATTCAAAAAACATTCCAGAGCCAACCTCAGCAGTTTTTTTTTTACTGTTGTTTCTCTAGGCAAATTTAACGTTCAGTAGTTTGTCATTGATTGGTCAGCTCTCGGTACTACTGTCAAAACCAATGCAAGACAAATCGTCTACAGCTGGGATCAAACCCATCTAAGCCACAGACACGACACTCTGTAGCCACAGTAGAAAGAGATAATGGGAGCTTGTGGTTAGTTTCCTGATGAAACACAAAAAAGGATTTTTTTTCCCCCAACCAGTATGGCAACCCCAAGATCAAAATATATAAAACGTTGATAAGACCAGTCGTTTATAAGGCTCTGAAACTTGGAGCACAACTGAAAGAGATGAAGGCTTATTATAGGTTTTCAAAACAGAGTATTACGACGAATCTTTGGACCTATCAAAGATGTAAACAGCCAGGAATGGAAAGTGAGAAGCAACAATGAAATTCATAATCTGTTTAAATCACCATTTATCACTGGCATCATGAGAACTAATAGGTTGAAATGGCAGGGGCATATTGAGAGAATGTCAGATGTCAGAGAGGTAAAAACTGCATACACAATGGAGATGAATGGTTGTAGACCATGAGACAGACCAAAAAGAAGATGGAGAGATAATGTCCAGAGAGAACTGCAAACACTTGGCGTTACCAACTGGAAAGACAAGGCCAAACAGGAAGATGAGTGGAGGTGGGTGATATCTGTAGCAATTAACCTCAAGTGCTCAGAATTCTGAAGAAGAAAAAGAAGTATGGCTCTGGATAATCTAGTCTCATTAACAGGCTTTGTTAATGTTTCCAATTTTCTCTCGGCATTTGTGGTTAGGCGCTGTGAATGCGCTTTTAAATTCCGAGGTACCAGGTTGAATTCCAGCTGAAGGTGATCTGGCAACATACCGCTTTGCACTGATTTTGACAGCTGTATCAAGCGCTGACTGTTCAGAAAGCAATGACAACTAATGAACATAAAACTGCTTAGTAGAATCAAACAGCCACAAATGCTTGGATTGCTTCTGATATCCTGTAAAAGGATATACAAATACTTTATTAAGAATGGAAAATCAGCAATAAAGGGAACTTGTAACAGCACCTCTTTGTGTAGTTGGCTGGTATACGTACATTCTAACACGTTATCAACCTGCAGCAGCACCCACCATTGGATTACCGTTCTCTAACAGTAACTTATCATTATGATATTTCTGTTTCACTGCCTAATCTGCTGCGATTGATTTGTTTAAGACCAGAATGTTGAGCATGCATGTCCATGTTGTTGAGGCACAGGGAATGAAGCAGGTTTTTTTTTTTTCCAGTTCAACTTCCAAAAGATGTAGACCTTTACCTTCCCAAAGATTAGAATGCATGCCTTGAAGCCATTCAGCCACATCTTTCTCAGAAGCCTACATATAGCTTCCTGGATCCAAATATGTGTTACATTATTTTTTGAAGCTTTTCTTTCTTGGTTTTTTTTTTTTTTAAAGAAAAAATGTGCCAGTACTTACAAAATATTACATTAGTGCTGAAAACATAAGGTCTAAACATTTTTTTTTTGTATTAAAGCTAACGGTACTGTGTGCTGATAGATAAAAAAGCTCTGGTCTTTTTCTTGTGATGTACGAAACAAATCTTTTATTTTTGTTTTGTTTGTTGTGGCATACAACTAGAATGTGATATATGTGCCTTTTGAACTCTTCCACTGTGATGTCAATTTAGACAAGACAATGAAACTGGTAACTGTTACGGTGCACTTTATTTATGTAACAAAAATAATATCACTAATAATAAGTAAAGCAGGTGAAATAGATTGTAAAATGAAGTGTAAGTAACAAATCTACCAAAACAGACAAATCAGAGAGAACTATTGTTAAGTTCCACTTGTTCATTTGTTCTTTATCTTCTTATGCTGTTATATACAAGTACATTATAAATGACTTGAAGAATTCCATCCCTCTGTTCTTTTCGACAAGATTTTTCTAAATCATGTACGCAGTCTAGTCCAACACCCCTAACTTGCATGTGTGTGTGTGCATGTAGGTGTGTGGGTGTGTATGAATGTGTGTGTATGTGTGTACATGAATGATTGAGTGGGTGGGTGAATGTATGTGGTTGTGTGTGCACGCATGCACGTGATAGTGAGCATACATTTAACAACCCATGCTTTTGTGTTTTTTCTTTGTATTCACAATATGCAAATTATTTTATGAACATCACATTCCTTATTGATAAAATATAACTGCTGTGTGAAAGATGTGTGTTTAGAAGGGCCGAATGTGAGAGGTGCACAATTTGTGACTCTTTGAAAATAAAATTTGTTTGTTCCTTTGTTCATTCCTTCTCATCTTTCACCATAATCTTAGGCAAAGTCACTTTCTCAATTACTTTTTCCCACTTTCAAGTACCTGCCATGATTCCCTGGCCATTTTGTTTGTTTCCTGTGTTTGAAGCTCTTATTTCTGTGTCGTCTGTCAGCCATGGTTCTCTGTCAATTAATGACAACATAAATAACCATTCACAAAACAATGCTGCCCTACCAGTGTGCCCAGAGTCCCAGCAGCATTCATGACACTCTCGTGGTCAGCCGAGGTCAACATCTTGGTAAGTTGACACAACAGATTGTTGCCTCCAGCTGGCTGGCTCTTCACAAGGGAGATAATTCTATGGCAGCCCAGTTCAAATTCTGCCACAGTACCAATTATATATGCAGCATTGCCTGCCACTCTGAAACAACATACAGAACACATTCAGTTATAAACTATAATCTATTTTTAATAATGTGGAAACAAACAATATACTGCATGGTTAACCACCTGGCATTGTTTTGCTGTATCATGTGAGGTGCGTTAAAAATCATTCAAGTGCAGTCTTCATTGTGAAGTCTGGCTAAAAGCGATCTTCAAAACTTTCTGATTTTGGTTGAACTCTCTTTCAGGCTGCTGTGTGTCCATCTCTTGATGTTGTCCACGCATTTCTATCACTGCCTACCTCTCCCTCTCGTGCCTTCAACGTTTCCCTCCAGTAGGTTTTTGTTGTTGAAAGTATTAAATCTTTAATGCAGTCAGACTATTTCACTTGTCATTACTACCGAGTTCATGCCAACATACAATAAAGTGCAGAACAAATTCCTTCAAATGAAATGCAGAAATCTCATTGTTGGATCGATCAGTCAGTTTCTCCCCTGCAGAACACTACCTAAAGGTTTACCATACCATCCTGAGATTTATTAATCTTTATCAGGAAGGCAGACCAACTTCCAGTCAAAATGGAGGATTAGGCATGGCAGAATGTTAACCTTTAAAGTTATTTTTGCTTGCGTCAGCACTTTGCTAATGCAGTTTCCTGATATGGATGGTAGTTTACTGTTTCACTGCCTGAGCTTAGTTTAGTGTTTGATGAAGCACTGTGAGCTGTGTTTTTCTTGTGGAATGCCTTTCATTTGTACAGCGGTTGTGGTATTCAATAAGGCCAGTAGCCGGTTTGTGTGTGAGCTGGTGAAACACCTTATGTGGTGGTTCTAAGTGCGCGTAGCCAACTTATCATGCTCAACCACTTCCATCAATGACAAACTTCATTTCTGGTGGCTACTGTTGTCTTTGGCAACTCTAGCAACTGCTATATGCATTCACTGCGTGCGCATATTTCTGGATTGCGCCGGGAATAACTGTTTGTTCATCAGTTTTTAAAATGCTACAGTGAGGGACATTTCATTTGATTTTTACTGGTACAGCAACGGAGCAAGTGATGGTGAAACCACAAGTAAGACTAAAACCAGCAAGACAGATCCCAGATACCCTCTTCAATCTCCAAAGGCGTTATAATTAGGGCGCCTGTAACAGCTCCACCAGCCAGGTGTCACCTGTAGTCTTGTGTGGGTAAGGAAAAGGAAAGCTCATTGTCTCTCGTGATGCTGCACATTTTACCAATGGAAGTCTAAGAGTAACCCCATGATCATGGAACATCATCATCATGTAGCTGGTCCTTTGCAGAACGGTGCTCATATCACTGTCTGCCTGAAAGAAACTCAGTCTCTTGTCAGCTCTCCCACCTCGTGCACTTTCATATTCAAGGAGTCATTTAAGTACTTTCTTATTAGATGACCACAAACAGGGGAAATCCACAGGTCACAGAATATCAAAAATTTCAGGGGGTGGTAGATTAAGCATATAGTTTTGTCAGGTTAGGGTTAGAGTTAGGCTTAGGGTTAGGTTAATGTGTGAAAACTTTGGCCCTGGAAGAAACAGGCAAAGCACAGAAAATATGGAAAACCCGCTCTTACTACCCTCTAAAATAGTGGACTGTCCCGTGACGTCATTTGTGGTCAGCTAAAAAAGAAAGCTGGAGCCGGACTATTTAAAAAAATGACCTTGGCTCCCAGGTCGACCCAGCCTTGAGTGGGTACCGGGTGCTGTTCCAGGAAGTAAAGGCAGCCGGCGTGATGCTGACCACATCACCCCTCTTGTGCCGACTGGTCTATAAAAAAATATAGGTCTAGCCCTATATGCCCTATACACCTATAGGCGTGGAAGAGGGTTCTTTACTATTACTTTTAAAAAGGAAGCATCGTCATTTAAACCCTGTGCCTATCTTCATGTTGGCTGGCCCCTCATTCTGCTGTTACATCATGTAACATTCTGGGGGAAAAAACTGTGCAATAGGTTGTCTGTGTTCTCATTATTTAAATTCATAGTGAAAAAACATGAACTCTGCAAGCACTCTCTTTGTGGTAAGCTGGCAATGCAAATGCCATCAAGACAAGCAGATACACCAAAATGATCACTGTTTTAAACATTCTTCTTCTTTATTTTCGGGATCATCAGGCTATAAACGCTAGTGGAAAGTTCTGGTTGTTCACCCACTTTTGAACTTTGGTCTTGTTCTAGAACTTTAGCGTTGTGTAGATATCCATTTTACAGATGTGGACTATTTATATGCAGACTGTTGGTTCCTCACACACGGCCTTGTGACTACAGGGAAAAAGAACACACTAAGGGATTTTATGTGTGGCTCACACATAGACGAAGACTGAAATGCCCATTAGTCACCACAATACCTTACAACACATACCTTTAGGGGGAAGGTGGCAGATTGGATTTATAGTGGCAGTCATAGGCAAAACGACAGCAGCAGACGAGGACGACAAAGAAGAAGATGAGGAAGAGGAGGGGTGAAAAAGAATAAAGAGGAGTAGCTGAAGAATAAGAAAAAGAAGAAGAGGAGGAGAAGAAGTAAAAGAAGAAGAAGACGACGAAAAAGAAGAAGCAGAAGGAGAAGCAGCAGCAGCCGAAGAAGAAGAAGAAGAAGGAGGAGGAGGAGAAGAGTGACATATTTTCATGATACGACACTATTAGTAAAGGGTTTGTTTGCATGCCTTTGCGTATTACGGTGAGTTGGAGATATGGCGTTGGAGCGCCCCATTGTAAGTGGTGCTTTTTCAAAAGTGACGGACAGATTCTAATTCTACAAACAACAGTTGGCCTTAGTGCCTTAGTTATTTGTGTTAACAACTAATAGGCACTCTCATTTACCTTGCTATGTCATTTCCTAGTAATTGCACAAGACTCCAAAGAAGATCCTCCGAGCCAGAATAAGACAGAAATGTCGATACTGTTCTCTCTTTTGCTGTATGCAAATCATTCACTAGCATCTCTAATGCTCCGTGCGCGCGTCGATCGTTGCACCTCAAATTAGCAAAATAATCTTCATTTACCCAGTTGCATGTCATACCTATTTTATGTTAGTAGGTGTTCGCACCAGAAACCGGCCAAATTTAAATTGCAGCAACTAGTATGTGTGAGATGCCTGGAGTACTAACTAAGCGATTGGCAGGAATTGTCCACCATCTTGTTAGATTGTTGACATCGTATCCAATGTCTGAATGGAAGATCTCAGCTCTCGCGAGATTTACATACTTGACAAGGAGCTCGTCCTTTTTATGTAACTTGTCGTAATTATTAGTAATATTAGACGTTAAGGGATCAGACATAAGCTATTTAAGCAAGAACTTCAGGGACAGAAATTGTCATATTAATTACCGGTTGGTACCTTGTTTTCCCTGCCATCTATTCCCTTATGGGGCATAGACTTTCAACTAACTCACGGCAAGTCGTTTCTAATCTTCTTTCTTTCTACTTCTTTCAATAAGTGACAATTAATACATTGTTTATTATATATATATATATATATATATATATATATATATATATATATATATATATATATATTAGGGCTGTACCGAATATTCGCTTCGGATTCGCTCCGGCGCCGAATAGTGGACCTAATAACTATTCGGTATTCGGCCGAATAGTTGCAGTCGGGCCGATTACAAATTGTGGTTACCTTACACCCGTTTCTGGACTTAGTTAGTTAGCCTTTCCTCTTGTGTCGAGTGCGGCACATAGGGCAGAGGTCATGACTCTCCATGCATGGCGGTTCGTTGCAATCTGTTGTAGGTCTTGGATGTTTGAGTGGCCCATGAGCGAGCCTTCCCTGATGATAGTTTTACGTAGGGTTTCCCTTGGTCTTCCCCGAAATCGTTTCCCCTGTGGTGTCCAAATGAGGGCTTGGTAAGGAAGTCTTGATTTATCCATTCTAAGGGCGTGGCGTTTCTGGACTAGTAGAAATTAAACATATCGAGATTTCCCACCGAGTGCCCATTGGTCTATTTCAGTGGTTCTCGGAGATGTGATTTTACAACGCAGTTCTAAAAATTGCGAGGGCTCAAAGACACCTTATCACAAACATCAGAAAGACGAAAGTCAACATTTTGTGGCAAGAAGGAAACTGGAACATGTTGCGACAACTGGAAAGATCTGTGTGGGGAAAAAGGTCTGAGGAAGACAGCGCAAGAGGATT